CTTGAAGGCGAGCATGTGTCTTAGAAATCCCCAGGAGCTGAGAGCTTCACCCGATTTGGAGCAGGAACTTTGACCTTAGGGTGCCTCTAAAAGCTACTTTTGGCACAGGATTTGTGCTTGGCTTATCCTGGAGTCTGGAGTCCCCTCAGCCCTGGCTTGGGGCAGGCATAGGGGTCCTGTCCTCCCAGGGGCTTGGTCTTTATGTCCCCTCCCCATGGACCACAGCCCAGCTTTCCTTTTGCTTCAATTCCTGGCACCAGCGCTGCCGAGGCTGAGGCTGCTCACAGGGCGGGGTGGTGGGGCTGTGATCCCCCCTCTGTCCCACTAGAGCAGAGTAACAGCATACACCACAACTGTTCCTGCTGCAAACGGAATCACTGCAACAGCCTGGTCCCTCTGGGCAGCATCCTGTGAGCACCTGGATCCACGGGAATATTCCAATGGCAGAAGGGCGGCAGAGCAGCTTTTCAGGAGCTGCATCTCACTGGGGAGGTCAGAGTTCTTTCACAGGCACAGCCAGGGCATTGCTGGAGCTGGGCAACCCCCAGTGCTTCTGCAAAACCAGCTCCTCTCCAGCCTCCTGACCAGAATTTGGGTGAAAAGGAGCTTTTTCCACGGGCAACCAGCCCGCCCGGGGCCTGGCTGACCCTCACCAGAGCTGGGATTTCTCTGTTACAAACGATCAACACAAGCCACCCCACTCAGGGAAGATGAGGCTGGAATTGTGGGTCTGTGCTCCGTGCTGGGTTCTTTGGTGCTGAAAGACGGGCAAAGAACCCTCCCCACAGCCAGACCCCGCTTCGCGTGGGGATGGGTCCCCCCAGGAGGGGCTGGGGGCTCTGGCAGCCCCGCACGGCCGCAGGTGAGCGCCAGGGTGTACCCTAATTGCTCCGGTGACCGAGCAATCACCGCCGTGTCATTACCGTGATGGATCGCAGCAGTTTAATGTGTCAATGGCCATTACCAGAGGCTTGTGTTTTCTCTGGATTAATGAATCGACACAGCACGACGGACTCCTCGGAGCCGCGGGCCCCGGCGAGGGGGATTGATGGGGAAAACAGGCGAGGCAGGAGCCGAGCTCCGCGGGGCGGGGGGTGGCAGCGTTTTATGGGAGGGAGAAGAGAAGGGCAACGGCTCGGGGTGACGAGCAGCCTTCCTCATCGCTGCTTGCGGGAGCTGGTCGCACCTGGGAAAGGGAGTTTGAGGATGGCTGTCGCTGCAGGGAGCCGGAGACCCTCAGCAGCCTGGCGGGGAGACCCTTCCTCCGGGAGCAGGGGGGTCCGCCGGGGCGGGGGTCCCCGCGCTGCGTTAGTGCTTTAAGAGGCTGGCAAAGCCGGCGGCGGGCTTCCCAGCTCCTCTTCATGCAAAACTTCCCCGGCCCAGGCTCTCCTCCTCCTCTTTTTCCCCCCTCCTCCTCCCCCTTCTCCACCTCTTCCTCCTCCTCCTCCTCCTCCTNCCAGGAAGCCACCGGCAGTGCCCGTGTGCCCCGGGCAGGGCTCGGAGAGGGACGGGAGGGATGGAAGGATGAAGGGAAGGAACGGAGCTGATCTGTTGAATGCAGCGAGGAGCTCGGGAAAACGCCACGAGAACTGCCAAAAGAAAAAGCTCGTTTCCTTCACTGCCTTTGTGCCCTGTAAGCAGCGTTTATCGGCGCCAGGCAGCGGGGGATGCGCTGGGCACGGCTGCGGGGGAGGAGAGCTGGGACAAGACCCTTTTCCCTGTGACCTCCCAGCACTGCACCGGGAGGCTCGCTCCGATGGGATGTGCAGAGATCCCGCCTGATTTTGGCCAGCCTGGCCGAGCTGGAGGGGCAGGGCTGGGGCCCTGGTAATGGTGGTCCCTCTCTGATGGCAGAGGGTCCCCAGGGGCAGTGGTGGCTGCAGCTGCCCCAGGCTGGGGAGCTGCGGGCAAAGCCATTTTGAGGACGGCATCTGGCACCGGGTTAGGGGTGCTGAGCTACACCCCGGGGTGTCGGAGCAGCATCAAGGGGATTTTCCTGGGGGAACCCAAGCTCGAGTGGAGCCATGGCCTGGCCCCACATCCCAGGGGCCAGCATTGCCCTGCGGAGGAGCCTAACGGCTCCCCGAAAAAGAGCATCACGTGCTTCAACTTTGGCATCAGGCAGGAGGAGGATGGATTTGTCAGCTCAGCCACCCCCTTCCAGCTCTTCCCAGAAAGGCAACGGCTTGAAGAAGTGGCAGCTCCTAATTATAACATACGTGAACCCGCGCCCGCCGCCCTCCCCGGCTTCACGCCCGCTGCGGGCACCGCCGGCTCTTCCTCCCGGCCGCTGCATCTCACCGAGTGTTTCCTTCCTGCGGCTCCCTGGATGGCCCCGCACCAAGCCCAGCTCAGGATGGGGGTCTCTGGAGTCACTGCCAGGGACGTGTGGGCAGGGGCTGGCACTGCCAGACCGCAGTGTCGGGGTGTTGGTGTGATGGGGAGCGGGGACACTGCGCGCTGCCGGGGGTACTGCCAGGCACCGGCAGTCAGGCCGTGCTCTCGCTCGGAGCCAGCGCCGTCCCAAATTGCAGATGGCGATAAAAAATTAATTGCGGGATTGTGCTGCACGTGGCAGCAGCGGGGACGAGCGGTGGCTCCTTCCCTCCCCTGCAGCCGCTCCCGCTGGAGCTCTGTGCTGGCTGCCGGCGGAGACCTCGCGCCGTCTGCCCGCAAGGTGAGCTGCTGTTCTCCCTCCGCTTGCTCCGGGGCTGGATCCTGCTCGTCTTCCCCCCCTGCCGCGCCATCCCATCCTTCAAAGTGAAGGATTAGCCCTAGCCCGCTTGGCAGCGGGAGGGAGGCGGAAGGAGAGGGCTCGCTGCAGTTAAGGACATATATAAATATGGTTTGATAAATATTCCCTGGATCTCATCTGCGCCCTATAGGAGCACTTTTGTTTGGACTTCAGCATCGTTCAGGAGATGCTCCAGGGCACTGAGGTGGGTGGTCGTACCCGGCTTTTCCCCACTGTGGGGCTCTGAGCTGGGTGCTGGCAAGACCTGGTTCCAGAGAGGACGAGCTGGCACCTCGGTGATGGGCTCGGGCTTGCGTGAGCTTTGATGTTGGTTCATGCATCAATCGAGGGGTTGCTGGGGCAGGGGCTGCACTTTGGCGCTCACTGGGGGGATTTGGATGGCTCAAGCCGGGGTCTCTGCTCACGGCTGCCTGCTGAGCCGTGGCCTTGTCTCTCCGAGTGAACACCAGGGTACTGGACCTGAATACTTAAGGTTTTGTCTGTCAGGAGAGAACTTAACCTGGCATCCCCTCCCTCTGTCCACATCTCAATTCTGCTCTACTTCATGGAGCTTTTGCAATTAAAAAGACCAGGAGCCAAGCGAAGTACCCTGCTAGCTGCTTGCAAGCGGGAAGAGTGAGTGTACACTAATTGGGATATTGTGCTGCCTGCTGCCTGGCCCTGCTTGCCGGAGGAAGAGCAGGTGGGGAAAGAAATAGCCTTGATTTTCAAAAAGATGCTGTGGAGCTGGTAGGAGCCAGTGTGGCTTAAGCTGGCACAGCCCTCCCAGTGCCAGGGCTGGGCTGGAGTGTCTGGTGCTGGTGGAGCTGGGTTATTTGGCAGCTGGAGATGGGGATGTGCAGGTGAGTGCTGGGTGCTCTTGGCTGATTATTGCTGCTTCTCCTGTGCTGTGTAACCAGCTCAGCCTCTGCCAGGTTTAACGAGCCCCAGAAGATGCTCTGGCTCTGAACTGGGAGATGATGGATCCTGATGCAGGCAGAGCTCTGGGAAGTGGGGTCTGCTCAGTGAGGGTCTGTCCAGAGCATGTCCCACCACAGTCCAGCCAGGGCCGTGCTTGCGGGGATGAGCAGGAGGAGCCACAGAAATGATGCCTGGGGTGGCCAGTTGCTCCTCAGGGCAATGGAGAGGGATTCGCAGCAGGAGATCTCTGTGGTGTGGGGGAATTTTTAGTCAGAGTTTGATTTCACGGAATCACAGAATGGTTCGGGTTAGAAGGGACCTGAATGCTCATCCAGTTCCAGCCCTTGGAATGGGCAGGGACGCTTTTCAGGGACCCTTTTCACTAGACCAGGTAGCCCCAAGAGGGGCTCGCTTGCCCAGCTGAGCCCTCTCCTGTTCTTTCCAGAGCCCTCCGTGGCCGGCGATGCCGGTGGCCCAGTGGCCACCGCTAGAGGGGGGCAGGATGCCACCGTGCTGCCCGGCCCCATGTCCGGGGTGCCGGGACCCGCAGGGTCCAGCAGCAGCGCCCAGCACCGTCTCCCTCCGCCCTGGTTCGGGCAGGGGGTGACCCACGCCCGGGCTCTGGAGAACTCAGTTTGGTTGGTACTTGTGCCACTTCCCGGATCCGGATCGGGCTGCGGCATAGCCGGGATGAGGGTGATGGGAGGGCTCCATCCTCATCGATGCTGCGCTGGTGGAAGTAGGAGATGCAGAACTGCTCCTTACTTGGGGGCTGGGGTAAGCACCACGCTGAGTGATGATCCCACCCTGTTCTTCCCACCCTCGGAATGCCCCTGTGGAGCAGTGCAGGTGGAGCAGGAGGGTGGCTCTGGCCCCTCACTGCCTGGAGCCTGTGGATAAGGTTGTTCCCTGCTCCATAAGCACCTGCTGTAGGCAGGTGTCTTCTTCCAGATGTACACCTCCCTCCAGATGTGCCCCTGGTGGAGCAGCTGCTTTGGGGAGGCTCAGGCATGCTGGAACCTAAGTCTGGGCTGTGTGGAAGCCGTGATGTGTGTGGCTTGGAGGTTGCTGGGGGCAGGTGGAGGGGACAGGGGTGCTCATCTGTCACCCCTTCCTGGGCCGTTTGCAGCAGGGGCTCATCGGGCAACTCCGGCTCCATCTCCCCTGATGATTCTGTGAGGGATCCGAACCAGCTCCCTCCTCCTCTCCCCATTATTTGTGCTTTCTTCTTGCCTGCCGTGATATTTTTACCTTCAGTTCGTTCAGATTATATGATCAAAGGAGCCACAAAGGGGAGAGAACAGAGAGGGAAAAAGCTTAAAAGAAGAAAGGGAAAAGCAGCGGGCTCTGGGGGCACTGCCAGCTCTGCGGGAGCTGCCGCGGGCTCTGAGGGTTTTCCTGGGAGCAGGTCCGTGGTGTGAGCATCCCACCTTTGATGGGCAGAAATGTTGCAGCTCCAGGGATGAGGGTGGGAGAGGTGACCTGCTTTTGGCTGGTGCGGGGCTGTGGAGGCAGCTGTGGTGTCTGAGCATCCCTTTGTCTCCCCATCCTCCTTCTCCCCATCACGGGCAGAGTCTGACCTGCTCCCAGGCCATGCCAGCAGCTGCGTTCCCCTGCTCTGTGCCCACTGGTGATGCATGGGGTGGTCCTTGCAGAGGGGACAGGAGCGTGCAGAGGGCTGATCCCTGTCCCTGGATCCGAGCGGGGCTGCACTCCCAGGGGCTCTCCCAGCAGGCTGGGGTGGGGGTTTTGCTGCAGCATTCCCAACCTCCTGCCTTTGGACGCACAGAGCTGGGCACCTGGTAATTCTGGCTCCTTAAAAGCCTGGGCTGTCAGAATCGCTTTAGAGATGGGCCTTCAAGAGGCTTCGGCGGGAGGGGAAGTGCATAATTTATGGAGGTGAGTTGAAGCCAGGGTCCTCCTGGGTGGGATGGAGCGGGAGCACCCGTGGGGCCGGTGAGGTTCTGTCCAGCACTGTGGGCTTGGGTGCCAGCTCTGGGCTTGAGCTGGGATTAATTTAAGCTGTTTCCTTGGTCTCACTGTTGCTGCCCGTCCTGCCTGGGGAATGCAGTTGCCTGCTCTGCTCTGTGCTGCTTTTGGTGTCTGCATTAATCACGCGCTGCCCTCAGCAACCATCAGCCGCTGCTGGGAGGTGGTGGGGATGGGCATGAGGGGGAGCCTGCCTCGGGGGGAAACTGAGGCACAGCCCGTGCTGCTGGGGCACGGGCAGCTCAGGTGCTGTCGATATCTGCTGCTGGAAGCCATCAATAACGGAAGCAGCTGCTGGTTCAGGAATCAGTGGCCTGAAGGGAGAGCGGCAGGAGCGCAGGGCTTTGGGTTGTGACTCGGACCTGGAATGCTGGGTTTTGGCAGTGCCTGGCTCTAGCTGAGGATGCAGACCTCAGCCTGTGGGGCTGAAGACAAGTAGGCTTGTGGGAGGTGACTGAAAAACCTGTTGGGAAAAGTAGTGGTGCTTTAGGATAGGCAGGGACCAGGACTGAGGGTGTGTGTGGGGTTTGCCCTGCTCTGAGCACTGTCTTGGCATTTGTCCCACCCTTGCAGTTCCCTTAGGAAGGGACAGGTTGGGACGTCTCAGAGTCCCTCTGAGCTGGTCACTGACCTGTCCTGCTCCGTGGGGCACAGTGTCCCCAAGCCCTGACCAGCCCCTCTGCCTGGATGCAATTTGGGCTAAGCCCAAACCTCTAGAATGAATCAAAGACACAGTGAATCCCAAATCTATTTTTTGAAATAACCCCCGGTACTAATTTCTGCCAGCTCCCTGATGAAAGCCTGGAATAGCTGATGTCCTCTTTCTGCTCCTGCCTAATTTTCTCTCTCCCCTTTCCCCCTGTCCCTCCAAGGTCTCTGGAGGAAGGACCCGAAGCTTTGTGTGGGCTCGTGTCTCTGCTGCCGCTTCTCCACCCTGGTGTAGCCATGCAGATCCTGGCACCTTCCTGCATCCCGACCTCCCGCTGCTCCACTGGGGCCGGCAGGAGTGCGAGGAGCCGCTGACGGTGCCGGAGCGGGATCCCTCCGGAGCCATGCCACCCGCCCAGCCCGGCCCGGCCCCCTGAGCGCCGCGTTCCCGGCCCGAGCTCTGCCCCAGCACGGCGTTGGCAATGAGCGGGGGTCACTTTTGCATGGAGCGTTTGTCCTTCTGCCTCCTCCTGAGTGCCTGGAGCTGGGGGTGGGCGCCCGGGGGTGCTGCCAAGCCCAAAGGCCAGGGCTACCCGCACATGAACTCCATCCGCATCGATGGTGACATCACGCTCGGGGGGCTCTTCCCTGTGCACGGTCGGGGCGCCGAGGGCAAAGCCTGTGGGGAGCTGAAGAAGGAGAAGGGCATCCATCGCCTGGAGGCCATGCTCTTCGCCCTGGACCGCATCAACAACGACCCCGACCTGCTGCCCAACATCACGCTGGGCGCCCGCATCCTGGACACGTGCTCGCGGGACACGCACGCCCTGGAGCAGTCGCTGACCTTTGTGCAGGCCCTCATCGAGAAGGACAGCACCGAGGTGCGCTGTGTCAGCGGGGGGCCCCCCATCATCACCAAGCCAGAGCGGGTGGTCGGCGTCATCGGCGCCTCGGGCAGCTCCGTGTCCATCATGGTGGCCAACATTCTACGGCTCTTCAAGGTAGGGCTCGGCCAGGTGAAGAGGACCCCTCGGCAAATCCCCTGCGGGCGCTTTGGCAGCGTTTCTCCACCAGTGCCTCTTCCTCCACAGCTGGGGGGAGGCAGAGCCGCTGTTGTTAAAATGCTTCTCCTGCCTCCCCCAGGATCCCTGGGGATCCCTTCCTCCATCCCCCTCCAGTGACGACACTCGGAGCAGGAGGATTTTTGTCTCATCTCCCCTGGCTTCGAGGCACTGCTGCTCCCGCCCTGTGGCAGGGACTGGATGGGAGGTGCCTGAGGGTGGGTTTGGTGCTGGTTCTGGGGGATGCTCCCTCAAGGGTGTGGGTTATACCCCAAAATGTAAACAACACCTGAGCCAGGCGGCTGGGCGGCCACAGGGTGGTGGCAGGGGACAGCTGGGGCCTCTCTGCTCCAATCCAAGGGGACATTTGCCAGGATGGGGACACTTGTCCTGTGCCACCGACCCCAGGGGTGCACAGGCTGTGGTGGGATGAGTAGGGCTCTTCCTCCTGCTCTGTGCCAGCCGCAGGAATGCCGAGGAGTTGATAATTCCTTTCCCTGTCATTGTACATTTATTTATCCACAGCCATGTCCCTGGGCTGTGGAGTGTGTGAACAAGGGACCCTCTGCAGAAATGAGGGAGAAATGTAAATATTATGCCTCTTCAGTGGTAATAGGGACCCCATCCCATCTTGGCCTTCTCCCAGCACCTTGAAACCCCTGTGCTCTGCAGGATTGGTGTTGTTTCCCCCTCTCTCTTCCCCCTCCTCCTCCTCTGCCAGCCCAGTGTGCTGAGAGCCAGGTGCCCTCCTGGGAGGGCTGGAAGCTGTTAGTGAAGACGGAAAAACCAGATTGCTGATGGAGTTTGATTTTTCTGGGTCCCTTTTTTTTAAAAACGTGTTAATGTTCCAGGCGACGAGTGAGAGGACTATTCAATAATTAAAATAATATAAATTAGAGGGAGTGGGAGGAACTAAAAAGCTATTTGCCAAGACAAAAAAGATTGAATGCTAGCTCTGGAGAGGAGGAGAGAGACTGGCAGTCGGGAAGGAGGCAGGAGAGTGACAGTCAGAATAGTTGGGGGCAACTGAAACCTTTCTAGGATCTTTTTTTTTCCCCCTCACCCTTCTCCTCCAGTTTTGGTCCTTGGGCAAAGAGCTGTGACCTGTTCAGAAGGATGGCACTGAGCTCAGGAGCAGCCCTGCCCCAGCTGAGTAGCCAGGTGCTGCTGCTGGTGCATCCTGAGCCCCAGGAACTGATCCCAGCCCAGCAGGACAGGGAGGAAATGCAAGTGTGGGGATGAGCAGGTAGAGACCTCAAAACCTCTTGGGAGAGGAGAATAAGGAAAATCTCAGCCTTTCCTAGACAGCAGTGAATCCCAGTGCAGGGGTTGGTGCCCTCCTCAGTGGCCTCAGCACAGGGACACTCTTCCCATGGGCTTGGGATCTCGTCCCACCTGTCTGGGCACAGCCATTCCTGCAGCAGGCAGGGGCTGGGGGTCTGAGGGTTCCAAAGGCTCTTCCCCCCACCACGACCCAAGTGCTGCTGCTGCTCTTTGTTATTCAAACACTGCTTTTATGGCAGGGACATGCTTAAAATGAGAATAAGGCGACTTCCATTTCGCGCCGCCACTGACCTTTAAGCGTGGGTGACTCTGCTCTGAGGTTCAGCAAAGCGTTGGCTGCCTCAGGCACAGGCAGCTGCCTCTGCCCATTCTCTGGGGCATGGCACTTGCTGGGGCTCTGCTCCCGTTTGGCCCTGTGTTGCTATGTCACTCCTGTCCCCCTCGGTGCCTCCCCCAACACAGGGACACTGGAAAGTGCTGGGAGCTGGGGCAGAGGAACCTTCCCTGTGGGGTGTTCCAAGTGTCCTCCGAGTGCTCTGGTTTCTCAAGTGCTCAAGTGGTTCTCAGGGAGGGCTCCAGCACATCTGGAGGGCTCCAAAACATCTGTGAGGGTTGTAGCATCTCCAGCAAGCAGCATGGAATGAATTAGAGTCCACCAAGGCAAGGAGCCCACACAAGTCCTGCAGAGCCCTGGCTGGGATGGGAGCACAGCAGCCCCCCCAGTTTTCTCCCTTCTCTTCTGTGACTGTGAGTGCACTGCAGCTGTTCTGGCTCAAAATGATGCTCTCCCTGCTGTGGTCCCTTTTCCCATTCCACACTCCCTCCTGTGCACTCTCCCTGCTCCATCCCCTTCACAGCCCCCATCCCTCCCCGCTAGGCCGGCCTTGCTCCTCCCTGCCAGGGCTTTTGTCGCTCCTGCACTACATAAATAAATAACGGGTCCTTCGTTAGCTGCCGCCTCCTAATTAAAGCTGTACATCAGTGGAACAACTTGCAGATGCGGCATCCTCTGTCCAAGCCGGTTTCATCACTCTTCGTCACTCTGCCTGCAGAAAATCCTTTCCCCACATCCATGCTCTCGGCTCCGTGTGATAGCATCTCTCTGGCGTCACTGCCAGAGCGCTCTGGCACGTTCCAGCTCCTTCCCACCCCTTGCTGCTGCCTCTCCAGCCCCAGCTCTACCCACTGGCTCCTGCACTGCCACAGCAGGGATGGCGTCAAGGAAACCAGGCCCTTCTCCTGTAAATGGGATCCTCTAAAAGCTGCTTTGGGGTCTGAGGTGTGTTTTTTCATCGGCACCCAGAAAGAGCTGTGTGTCGAGGTGGAGCTCAAGCGCTCAGTGCGGGGTGAACAGCCAGAGGATGGGTTTGACACGTGCCAGGCACTTTGAGGCGATTGTTTCCTCCGTGGCAGCTAGTGCAGCCACTCTCTGCAGCGCAGGGCTGGTGTACAACATGAATAATTCACCTGAGGACGGCGCTGCCCGCGCTGCAGCCGGGCACTCGGCACCTGCAGGCCCACGAGGCTGCGCTGCCTGGGGCTGGCGGGTGCAGAGCTGGGTCAGCCCCTGGTTCTGAGCCCCCCCTGGCAGTGCTGAGCCCCCTGGCTCGGATCAGGGTGCCCTGAGGCCTTGGGGGCAGCGGGATGGAACGATTCAGCACACGCTTCCCCACTTAGTGGGTAAATAACCTTCACCGAGCGGCCGGGGGACGCTCTGATTAATCACCCGCTGCTGCCACTTCATCTCCTTGCTCTTCACTGGGCTTATTGGAACAAATTGCAGCTGCCTGGCTCCCCTGGGCTGCCCCCAGCTGTGAGGGGTCCCTAGGCATGGCTTGTTGAGGATGAGTGGGACGGGTGGTTGCAGGTCTGGTAGCGATCAGGGACAACCTGCACCTGCTGGGCCTCCTGGAGTTTTATTTCTGCCTTTTCCCTCTCTGGGGAGATGCTGAAGGCTGGATCCTGGGCCTGACCCCGTGCCCAGGGAAGGGGCAGCAGGATGGGGCTGCAGCTTGTTCCATCCTGACGCTGAGTTCCAAGCAGCCCTGCTCAGCCCCTCACTGCTCCAGCCCCTGCGGTGCTTTACGCTCTCCCTAATTAAAAGCTGCCATCCAAACGGCTCAATGATGGAAATTCTAATTAAATCAATTCCATCTTGTCGGCAAACCGGGGGTTTGCATAAGATATGCATGAAATTAATAATTATGGGGAGGGAATTAGCTGCTCCTGACCCTGTTTCTGGCATGGGGGGGTTGGTGCAGGAGCCCCTGCTCATGAGGTGCTCCTGACCAGAGTGCCCAGCTCTGGCTCCGCAGTGGTTTTGGGGTTTTTTGTAGGTTTTTGGTTCTTCCTTCCTGCCTGCTCAGGCTGATGTTGACATCAACAGTTTAAGCCTGAGCTGGGATGTGCTGAAATCACCCCCTTTGCCTAATTCTTCCCAGTCTGGGGGGAATTCTGTCTCCTATCAGTGGAGAAAACACCACAGCAGCTCCTGAGCCCATTAATGATGGGTACCAAATTCAGCTTTCCCAGTGCATTTGAAATCAATCCCAGCAATCTGTTGACCCTGGAGGAGCAGGATGACACCCCCAGCCCGGATCCCACCATCTTTCTTACCTCCAGGGATGTTTCTCCAGGCTGGGAGTGCTTCTGGACAATAGTGTTTGATTCAAAACAAGAGAAGGAAGAAGGTTTTACCCCCTGCCTTGGGATCACTCCCCACTCTTGGTGGGACAAGGAACTCTTGGGGTGCAGGAGAGCTGGCCCTATTAAATTTCTCAACACAATGTTTGTCCCAGGCTGAAGATGAGGCAGACAAGGGACCACCAGTGCCCAAATTTGCAGCTGAGAGATGTTTCCGGCTCCCTCTTCCCACTGCATCCTTCTTTCTAAGAACCTTGAATTCCCTGCTTGCATTTTGCTTTTATGTACCTAAAAGGACTTTTGTCTTTTATCTGAGAAAATAGCTGGTGCTAGGAGTTGGGCTATCAAAAAGGCAGAGGGGGGAAAAGGCAGAAGAAATCTATGAAATGGTCATTTGGGAACTGGTATTTTATTTTCACTTTTATCCGAGGTAGAGGAGCAAGAGAAAAAAGCCCTTTCCTTTTGTTTATTAAAATATAGCTTCGAGTCCATAGCCTGTGGATCAACAGGTATTTTCTGGGCTTTGTTTTCCAACTGAGCCTAGAGCAGGATGGGCAGGCCAGGGTTTAATCCCAGGCTGTTGGAGCTTGGGTGGGACAGCGGTGCCGTGGGGAATAGCTGGGAAGTCTCCATCGCCAGTGCCCTGCGGAACAGGTGAAACCAAAACACTTGGCAGTGGGAAAATCATTGGGAAAGGACCCTCTGGGAGGGCAGGGGTGCATCCCTGCTCCCAGATCACCTTCGCCCTCGTGGGCTCCATCCCGAGTATCCATCCTGCAGGCTTGGCAGGGAAGAGGAGGGATTGTGCTGGGAGCAGTCCCCCTGCTCCCCCCGGGATGAGCGATTGCCAGGCGAGCGCCTCACCTGCTGAGCAGAATTTTAATGGAGTCTCATGCACTGGCTCCAGTCAGAGATCCCCAACGCGCAGATCAGAGTCCCTCGGAATGGAGCACAAAGCAGATTGTCACGGGGAGTAATCCTATTTGTGCCTTGATAAAGATTCCTTCCTCTCCCTCTCCCCCTCCTGCTCCATCTCTCCCTTTTTTCATCTCCTGTTTCGCAGGCAGGTAGAAAGGTGGCTGCTCCTTTCCAGGGGCCTTTTAGCATTCAGGTGCAGTCGTGGGTTTATAACACCAGAATCGCATTTAATAAAGAGAGGCAGGAGTGGGAGAGGGGAAATCACAGGGAAACAAAGGAGGAACTGGGAGATGCAGGACTGGAGGAGGATGGAGTGAGGCCAGGAGGGTTGGGACACCCAGGCCTGGTGCACATCTCGTCCCTGGGATGCAGCTCCCAGAGGTGGCTGGGGCTTGCTGCACCGACTGCCATTCCCACAGCTGGTGGGGAGAACTTGGGCTTGATAATTTAATAAGCCTTTTCCATCTTTAAGATAAATGAGGATCTGTGGTTCGTTTTGGAGATGGAAAGTGCTGTGTAAGTGTTAAACATCTCCTGATCCTGCGGTGCTAAATCATCCCAGTGTGCTGGGAGAGCTGTGGCGGCTCTGGTTAATTTAAGGGGCTTATTTAGGGCTGGGTGGGGGGCAGGATGGGTTGGATCTGTCCTTCTTGGGGAAGGAGCCAAAGGAAGACCCTGGAAGTGCTGGCCAGAGAAGAATTATTTTTTTTTCCTTTGATCTCTCCCACACTGGATGCTCCAGAAACCCTTTTGGGGTCCTGCTGGGTGTCCCTGAGCTGCCAGTGGTCCCCAAGCCCTGATGCACCCTGGAGCACCTGATTGTGGCACATTCTCCACCTGCCCCATGCTGATCCTCGATTCCCACCTCCCTCTGCCCCAGAGCAGGGCTTTGGGAGCGTGGGCATGGCTGTGGGGTGGAGATCATCCCCTCCTTGCCCTGATTCCGTGCCCTTCCCTCCTCCTCCCCAGATCCCCCAGATCAGCTACGCCTCCACAGCGCCGGACCTGAGCGACAACAGCCGCTATGACTTCTTCTCCCGCGTTGTCCCCTCGGACACCTACCAGGCCCAGGCCATGGTGGACATTGTCAAAGCCCTCAAGTGGAATTATGTCTCCACCTTGGCCTCCGAGGGCAGCTACGGTGAAAGCGGGGTGGAGGCCTTCATCCAGAAGTCCAGGGAGGATGGTGAGTGGATCTCTGCCAGGATGGGAAGAACTGGGACAGGAGGAGAAAAGGATGGGATGGAGGGATGCGTCTGGTCAGGCTCCTTGGCTGAGCTGGGATGTGGGCAAGGTGATGGATGGTGAGGTTTGGGGCATGGCGCCGGAGCAGTGTGGGTTTTGGGGCTGCCCAAACAAGGATCCAAGTTTTCCAGCAAGGCTTGGGACCAGCAGTCCTGGGCTGCCTCCACTCTGCAGGGCAGGCTGCTTTTGGGAAGCATCTCAAGATCCCATTTTCTGCTACCCAGCTCCGCCGAGCTGGTCTCACCCCTCCCTTTGTGCCTGAGCCACGGCGCTGGGTGCCTTCCAGAAGACAAGGCTTTTACAAATACTCCCAGGTTTTAACAGAAAATCAAGTTGGCACCACCATGAGCTGCACCCAATTTTAGTGGAATTATCCTCCAGGGCAGGTGCTTTAATTTTGTCTATGGGCTTTGGACAGGCAGAAAGTCCATGCTCAGCAAAACTCTTTGGGAGGATTTGTCTGGAGGCAGAAAACGTTTTGCTGACGGGAGCTCTGTGATGCTTAGGGGGGATTAGCGGCCTCGGGAGCAGTGCAGGAGCTTGTGGGGACCCAAACATCAACCCTGGGATGGGAGAGGAGCCCTGGGTACTGCTGTGGGTGCTGCTACCACCAACTCAGAGCTGCCCCGGGACCCCATGGAGGGGCTTGAACGGCCCTGGGGACCCTCCTGGCTCTGGCATCACCTCAGCCCCCCAGGACGGGGTGGGAGGCGAGCTAAAGGGTTTTTTTGAGACAGTTAAACCCCTGCAGGGCACAAGCTGCTGCTTATTACAGGCTTAAGTGTGTCTGAATGGCACATTAGGTTCTGGCAAAGTCGGTGGGACACCGGCCTATCTGGAGCCAGTCAAACTGTGTTATGGCCTTATAAATGGATAAAGGGAATAAAAACTTTGAGGTGACGAGCTCCTAATCAAAGCCCTATAAATAGGAGCAGCGTTAATTCCGTCTCTCCCACGTGTGCCCTGGCACCAGAGCTGGCTGTGCTTTTAGTGTGCAGAAAAACCCATCTGGGGATCCAACTTGGGAGCTGCTCTTCAGGATTTTCACTTGAAAAGCGGAATATTTTTCACGGGGCTGTGGCTTCTCGAGGAGGAGAGTGTGGGGATGCTCCTGAGTGGCAGCTGCAGGGGATGTGTGGAGCTGCAGGTGCAAAGGGTCTGTGCTGGGGGTGTGTAACAGAGCCTGGCAGGTTTGGGGAGGGGCTGGGGGATGCTCTGCTGCCCCATCCATGGGTGCAGCCACCCGGGGGTCCGTGGGGCAGCCGAGGGGCTGCATAGGCACATACAAACCATGCTCCTCCACCACTAAGCACCAGTAAAGAGTGGTGGTTGTGACTGGTGATCCTGCTGTGGCATGAGCTCTTCTCCTTTGAGATACCTGTGGTTACCATGAGCTCCTCTAACCAGATGTTAACGAGCTGACAGCGTAATTGCAGAGTAAAGGAGAGCACACAGAGCCAAAGCGGCCGCGTGTTAATCCAGGGCCACGGCAGTCCTGTAATTTGGGTAGCCACATAACCTGACGATTATGTGCATTACTGATAATTTAGTTATCAAAGAGCAGATTTCCACAGTGCCTGCAGTGAGGGCAGCCTGTGTGGCTGCAGGAACATGGAGCTTTGTGGGAGCTGTCTGTGCCAGCCCCAGCGTGGGGCTCTGGGTGGGCTCTGAGCTATTCCCTGGAGCATCTCCCTTGGGAGTGAGTGTGAGGTGTCAGCCACACTGCTTTGCTCGTGGAATAGAGCCACAGCCATGAATAATGGTGAGGCTGGACCAAAAACATGATTTTTCTTTTTTTTCCCTTTATTTTATGTATTTAAATGCTTCTCCCCCCTACCCCCCCAGCTGTGCCATCTGTGGTTGAGGAAGACCCAGGCTCTGCCCTTCACCTCTCAGTCTTCCCCTGTGCGAAGGGCTCTGCTGGCACCAAACACTTTTACACAAGCACAGATCCATTGGGAAGGGGTGAAGGATCTGGTCCCTCTGTGGGGTATTCCTGGCTCTCAGTTGCATTTCTCCAGCAGCCTAAAGGATCCTGTGATTTGTCGCTGCTCCCAGGGGCCTCCAGCCTGTCAGAGGGACAGCCAGGGCTGTCAGCTGAGTGAGAATCTGGCCTGTGCCAGGGGCTGGCCAGCTGTTGGGCAAGTGGTGGAGATTCCCCGTGGGGGTGTTTATGCCGGGGGAATGGCCAGGCACAACCCCATCCCCACACTGGCTCTGCCCATGGGGTTCCTCACCCACCCAGCTCCAGGTGAGCAGCTCCCACTCTCCTCCCCGCAGCTCTCTGCTTCATTTCTCATGCCAAGCCTGAGCCTTCAGAGTCGGGTTTTATTTCCATCAGGCAATAATGCTCATTGCTGTCGTTAGCAGCTCGCACTCAAGCTGTTTGCTTTCTGATGCATTATCAACTTGACCTTCAGTTTCAATTTTTAGCAGAGCCTCATGTTGAAGCTTCGCAGCTCAGTGGAAAACGGTTCTGCTTGAGGCACAAAGCGACCTCCGACAGCGATGCGGGGAGGAAACTCGCCCTGGAGATGGGTTATTTTTGCAGCTGGGACTGGCCCTGGGCTACCACGACAGACTGACCTGGGTGGCTGTTACATCTTTATTCATTTATCCTTTTATCTTTATCAATATTTGCATTCGCTCTGGTGATTGTGCTGTTGGCCCCTGGAGGTTGCTGGTGGCTGCACTGGTGGCTGGAGAGTCCTTGTTCACCAGAGTGCTGCTTTTTGGGTTTTAGCATTGCAGAGATGTTCAGTCTGCAAAGGATGTGTTTTCTTCAGCCATTTTAAAGTGTTTTAAGTGCTTTGTGCTCCCCAAATCCATCCCACTCCCCCAGAGCATTCTGCAGTGGCTGTCAGCTGGATTTCCACTGCACACCAAGGTGCTGGCAGGGCCAGCATTGAGGTGTCCCTGATGTCCCCATCTCCAGCCCCTCTGTCCAGCATTTCCCCATGCCCCTGACCTGTGGCATCATTTTGGTGGTCAGACAGACCCACCCAGGGCCCTCTGGCTCTGTGTCATTGAGGTCTCTGCTGTCTCCAGGCTCTTGGAGATGAATATTCCCAGCCATGACCAAGGACTCCTTAGTCATGTACCTGGATCAATTTTGCTGCCGTTTCCCCTCCTCTATTGTTTCATCCTTCACTAAGTTTTCCGTATTTTTAGTTAAGAGCCTGATGTATATTTGTGATGCGTTTGCTCATCCCCATGTGACATCCCTGGCTGTCTCTTTCTGGTTCCAGCCGGGTTCATTACTCGCGGTGGCTGCACCAGGAGGTTGCCCCCAAAAAGCCACTCCCAAATCTTGAGGCAGGAGGTTTGACCGCAGCACTTCAGTCTCACCACGCGCAGGAGAGGGTGCAGATCTCTCCCTGGTGGCTTCTGCCATCAGTTCCTTCCTGGAGGCTCTGAAGTGACACAAACAATGAGTCCCGGGGCACGGGAGCTTCCAGTTGAGGCTCTGGGCTCGGGAATTTTATGGAAAGGCTGGAATTAGGATGGGAGCTGGGAGTGGGAATGCTCTGCTGGGCTATGCAGAGCCTGATCCCTCTGCGGGGTGGGGGGAATATGCACATCGCTGTTCCCAGCACGGCTGAGCCGGATCCCTGCTGTACCCCCCAGTCTGGGTCCCTGCTGTACCCCCCAGTCTGGATCCCTGCTGTACCCCTTGAGCTGGATCCCTGCTGTACCCCCCAAGCTGGATCCCTGCTGTACCCCCCAAGCTGGATCCCTGCTGTACCCCTTGAGCTGGATCCCTGCTGTACCCCCCAAGCTGGATCCCTGCTGTACCCCCCGAACCGGATCCCTGCTTGCTGTGGGCCTGGCAGGCTCTGCGGGAGCCCTGGCAGAGCCCCAGAGCCACGAGCTCATTAAACACCGGCAATCAAGAGGGGAAGCCCGAGTGGCTGCGCTCCCACAGAGCCGTAATGGTGGAGATTAAACCCTGACCCGTGTTTGCCAACAGGCGTCAGCCCCAGCGGCATCAGCAGAGTCCCCGGGGCCCTGGCGGTGCCGGGGGAGGCAGATCCCGGCGGGATGGGAGGGATGCAGCCGCGTGCCTGAGGATGGCGCAGGCAGCGACGGAAGGGGATGTTTGGAAGTGGGCTCAGGTTGGGTTTTCCAGGCTGTTTTTTTGCCGAGGGCTCTGTGCCACCAGTGACAAAACGCGTGGGATCTCCTCTGAGCATCCTCCGACTGCCTGGCCCCAAACTGCCCCCAGCAGCTGCCTGTGGGGTGTTCCCCCTATCTCAAATATTCCTGCTGCTCTTTGGTCTCCCAAGCTGGGGGAGGAGGAGAGGGATCCCCATGCCTCAGCTGCTGCCTTCTCCTGGAGTCACACCTTGTCCCAAGCCAGGGAGCAGTGCTGTGACATCCTACTGGAATAGAGAGAGCGGTCACCTCCTCCCCATAGCTGCCACCTCCTCACTTTGATTCCTGGCTTTAGGAGGAGTGTTTTGACTAAATGGATTTTTGTGTGAAGACAAGTGGGAGCATCACTTGGCAAATCCCCTTTGCCTGCGGTGCCAGGGTGAGAATAATGCAGGTACCGAGAGACAGAGCTCCCCAAAACGCAGCCACTGCACCCCTGACACCCTGCACCTCTTGCTGTTGGTGATTACATATTCATAAATTAAGAAGATAAAATACATTGTCAGCATCTGCTGTGGGAACCGGGGGCTCCCTGGCCCTGCAGGCTGTCACCTGGAGGAGCTGCGTTCCTTGTTAGTTTGATTTAATGAAGCAGCCGTGGTCATCTCTGAACTGCCATCGATTTAACCTCTTTTCTTGTTTATTTATGGGCCCATCTCCTCTGCCACGTGTGCAGGGAGATGTGCCCTAGCATGAGTGCCTGGTGGCACTCAGGTGTGTGCCTGTGCCAGGCCCCAGCTGCCACTGGTGTGTGTGCACTCCCGCCCGGCCCTGCCAGGGCTTTTGGAAGGCTCTCAGTGTTTGCAAACTGCCGCTTTTGTTGGATTTTCTCCATTGATTGCCATGGAAACTGTAATTAAGCTGCACGGTGGCCCCTGGCAGTGTGCTGTGACACCCTGGTCTGGCCAGGGGCCCGGTGGTGACCAGCGTGAATGTCCCCAGGCTGGGACATTCCTGTCCTGCTGGCGCTGCCGGCTGCTGCCCGCCTCGCCTGGCTGATCTGTCTGTTTATCCAACTCCCTCCTCTCCATCCATCTGGCTCCCCATATGGGAACCAAACAGCAAATTGGCCCAATTTCTTACCACAGGGAAACAACCCCCCAAAAACCCCCTGGAAAGCCCTGGCTGGTGAGTATAGGGTGGGGATGCTGTGCCCCGTTCCTGCAGCCCTCTCCTGCCTGCTCAGCACCCAGCACATCTCTCTTCTCTTGGGTTTTGGCTGTGAGGGGCCAAATTTTCCCAGTTTTCCTGCAACCCCACGTAGGGAGTGAAGTCTTCTGGAGCCTGTCCCTACCCTGTCCTGTCCTGCTGCTCTCCAGGGCTGTGCTCTGGGAGTCTCTCCCAGCCCTGGGTGGTAATTATGCTGACCTTTGCTTAAGCTGCGATCTGTTAGTGGCAGGAGGCATCAACCGTGTCATTTACTATGCAAATTGAGACCATCAATTACATCTAGAAGGTCTTGAAATGTTTAATTTTCTCTCCCATCTCTCTCTTTATTGGCATCAGCAGAAAAGCAGGAGCAGGAAGGCTCTGGCTTTTTGGAGCTGGAGGTTGGGAGCTCAGCAGTGAAGTGTGGGGGCTCTTCCAATTGCTCTTCCAATTGTCTCTTTTAATTTTAATTACCTGCTTTTGCAATGGCTCCTTGGAAAGCTGAGCTGGGACTTGACCAGTGCCATAGGGATGGGAATAAATCCCTCTGCAGGGCCTGGCTACTCTTCCTATGGGATGGTTTTGCCAGAGTTTGACCATTCCGTGTGCAGAACCCTTTGCAAATCCTTGGCTGGGAAGGGGCTGGTGCTTGGAACTGGCTGGAAAATCCTCACTGAGCTGCTGGGATGGGATGTCCTGGGGACATTTGGAGTGTGGTGTGGTGGTGGCTGAAGGTGACAGGTACCAGGGAAGTGGGTGGGAGGCAGAGGAGCTGTGGAGATACAGGGTGGAAAGGAATGTGGTGCAGAAGGGCTGAGCTGGGGGAAGAGGAGGGGTGAGGACAGAGACCTGGGAGAAGAAGGGTGAGGGGAGGGCTGGGGGACATGTCCCAGGGGGTTGGGTGGTGGCCAGGAGGTCTGGGCTGAGGAGATGGTGAAGTGCTCCGCCCCTCAGTGGGAGCACTGGAGAGACCCCCTTTGCCTGTTGGGCTGAGGAGCCCTGCGAGAGCTCCCCAGAGGACAGGGACTCGTGGGGTGTCTCAGTGCCAGGGCTCTCTCTGCCACAGGCGGGGTCTGCGTGGCCCAGTCCGTGAAGATCCCGAGGGAGCCGAAGCCGGGGGAGTTTGACAAGATCATCCGCCGGCTCCTGGAGACCTCCCATGCCCGTGCTGTCATAATCTTTGCCAACGAGGATGATATCAGGTGTGGAGGGGCTGGCCTGGCTGGGAGCGGGGTCTGGGCAGGGATGCACTGGGATGCACTGGGATGCACTGGGATGCACTGGGATGCACTGGGGTTCACTGGGATGTGTCTGCAGCGGGCAGAGGATGCACCCTGTGATATGGCAGGACCACCCTCTCAGAACCCACCTGGCAAGTGGCTGCCATCCAACCACAGCCACACAGAGTCCACTGGGGGAAAATCCCACTTTCCATCGGTTTTGGAAGCCCTGGATATTGTGACCTGCTGCTTCACACCATGCAGGGGCCACTCTGAGCTGGCTAGGGCAGGAGCCAGGCACTGGCTGTGCTCTGCAGAGCCCAGCGTGGCAGAGGGGCAGAAGATCTAGGGGACCTTTCAGGAACCTTTTGGGGACCTCTCCAGCACTCTGTGCCCAGCAGGGCTGGGGACGTGGCTGCACTTGAGGGTGATGAGCTGCTCTGCGGGCGAAGCGGCGGCTGCAGCTCTGTTGTTTATGGAGCAGAATGATTCACATGGAGCTACCCCTGATTTCCTAAGTGTCTAATTTATTAATCAGCAAACATTATGTAAATGTGGGTAAACTGCAAGTTTAAATCAGTTTACATCAGATGTGCAAACTCTCCCAGTTTCTTTTTTCCTTCCATAATAGAAGTGTCTGCGGAGCTGACATTGGGTGGGGGTGAGAGGGAAAAGGGATTTACCTTGCAGGATAAACAGCAGGTCCTGTTATCAGGCCTCTGGAAACATTTACCCATCCAAATGGTATTGCAGCCCTGGGCAGTGACCCCATTGGAGCCTCCTTTATCCCAGCATGGGGTTCTCCATGATCCAGCCCTTTGTGCCAGCCTGGGTTGTGGAGCCTGGAAGATGGGAAGGACAGACTGGGACGGCTGTAGCTGGAATTCTTGCCTGGCTCAGTTTGGGTGCAAATCACCAATCCCACGGGAATGTCCTGGGTTTGCCCTGGGGAGATCCTGCCCCACACAGGGGCCAGGGGCAGGCTGGAGGTGCTGCTCTCACAGAGTGGGACACGGGCTGTAACCGTCCTGGGGAGGGATGTGCTGGAGCCCAGGGCAGCGATGAGCATGGAGCAGCCTGCACAGCTCCTGCTGCATGCCTGCCTCTTCCCATCTCGTCTGCACTCTGCTGGATTTCTATCGGGTTTTTTCCCTTATTACATGTTTCAAACACCATCTGGACTTGAAATGATCAGCTCCGACGCGGGGGGTGAGTCACAACCTGCCTCGGCTCTGCACGGGGAGACGGAGCTGCCCTGGTCCCGCTCCCACATGGTTGGGGACCCACAGGAGCCTCGAGGGGACAGTGAGCCCTGAGAGGCAGAGCCTGCACGGTCAGATCCAGGAGTGCTCTGTTCACATCCTCCCAATGAGTTTCTGACCTGGCTGGCCCTGGAGGAGTGTGCAGGCATGTCTGAGTGTCTGGCACCAGGAGGGATGCTCATCAGGACTGATGGCATCTCCGCTCCCAGCCACTGCTCAGCTGCCCAGCTGAGCCCAGCAGAGCCCAGTTGAACCCATCAGTGCCCAGTTTAGCTCCATGCTGGGCGCTGGCAGCACTGGCTGCTCCTCTCCTGAGGCTGGCCATGCTGGGAGCACGTGTTCTCCATGCTGCTGCTTTCCCTGCCTGCTGCGGCATAACCTGGTTCTTTTTTTTCTTTCTTAATGTTGGGTAATTAAGGGGAAATTCAATTACCAGTCAGCAAATATGCAAATGAAGTGGGAGAAGCAGCCTGTATGCCTGGGCTGGGAGGACAGAGGGTGCGGGAGCTGAGTGGCACCGTTGGATTTTGTGTGTCCATGTACACCGAATTGTGCCTGGTGCCAAACTTCTGCCTGGAGCAGGAGATGCCACCAGCACTGTGCCAGTGCCCCCCCTTCCCTGGGGCCACAGAGCTGGTAGCCCAGCTTCTGCTGCTTCTTCCCACAGAAGGGTGCTGGAGGCGGCCAAGAGGGCGAACCAGACGGGGCACTTCATCTGGATGGGCTCGGACAGCTGGGGCTCCAAAATTGCCCCGGTCCTGCACCTGGAGGAGGTGGCCGAGGGCTCTGTCACCATCCTGCCCAAGCGGGTCTCAGTCAGAGGTATGGGCTGCGTTCTGTGGATCCCCCAAGCTTGCCCTCCTTAGCTGCAGGTTTTGCCTGTGAAACCATCTTGGAATCACAGAGTGGTTTGAGTTGGAAGGGACCTTAAAGACCTCCATGAATCCCCTCCTTATTTTCCACATGCCATGTTTTCCCTAATCTCCCTTTATCACCAATGTACTTTGAGACACCTTTCCAGTTGCTCTCAAAGTCACAGAAAGTCTCTGCTTTGCAGAGGATCTTCCCTGAGTGGATTTTCCACTTGCATCACTGCACAAGTGGCACTTTGGACCACAATCCCACCGCACTCTGATGTGTCTCCATCGCTCCTAACAGCTGCCTTCCTCTCTTCCTGGTGAAATTTGGGAACGTGTGATGCATCTCTGTCATTCCAGGATTTATTCTCTCCATCCCCTTTCACCCCGGGCAGGTTTCGACCGCTACTTCTCGAGCAGGACCCTGGACAACAACCGCCGGAACATCTGGTTTGCTGAGTTCTGGGAGGAGAATTTCCACTGCAAGCTGAGCCGGCATGCACTGAGGAAGGGCAGCAGCATCAAGAAATGCACCAGTAAGAGCTAGGGGGCTGCTGTGGGAGGGTGGGGGCTCATGGGGGTTTCTGCTGGTGAACATGGAGTTTTTGCCTGGTGGGGATCCCAGCAGAGCTCGATTTCAGGTGCCCAACTGCTTCCTCATGCCCCACCGTGCATTTTGAGTCATTTCCAGCCAAAAGAGGCTTTAAGGACGGGTGCAGTAAACAAGGCAGCTGGGGATCTGTCTTGCTGACAGCGCTGCTGTCAGGTGATGGTTGGAGGCTCGGGGAGGTGACATGTTTACTGAGAGATGGGAGAGATTTACTGCCTGCCTGGCACCGGCTGAAGACAGATGACGGCGCCGTGGCTTGCGGGCTGCGATGTGGCAGGACTTGGGGACATTGGCGTGTCCCTTTGTCCCCTTGGGAGGGATGTCTTTTGAAGCTATCATGTGCTGTCACACAGAGGGACCTGGCTGTGCCTGCAAAGTTGGATCGTGAGGGTTTTGTTTTTCCCCCTGCTTCACCACTGAGGATGATCTGGATGGTGCTTCTGTTGCGCTGTGTTAGGAACGGCGAAGTGACAACACAGACTCTCAGGCTTAGTTGCCAAAGAGACTATGTTTTATTCTTCCAGATCCTTTCTTATAGACAGTTCTGAGAAGGTCCAAAAGGGTAAAACTTTCATTGGTCATCAAACCAGCACATCACCATCCTTGGACAGTTGGGAACAGCACCCCTCAACCATTTCTTACAAGTAAACAAGGAGACAACATCTGCAAAGATTGTTTTCCTTCTTCAAGGGCTGTTTGAGTTCCTCCTCACAATTTCTCAGGCCAGTGTGAGAAGGTTCTGTGACTTCCACACAGACACTGTGCTACCTGCCTGATTTCTCACATTCAGCATCCACAGTGCTTCCACATCCCTGTCCTTGCAGACATTCCCCAAAGGTTCAGCTTATGATCT